CTCTTATTTAGGGTCCCCATCCACTACAAACACAAAGATAAAGCACCGCGCTTACAGCAGCAGTGGCTTAGTATCCAACAGCTTAAAATACATAGTAAAAACAAAGAAAACGTTACCTGCGCTCTGGCCTAAATCCCCATCCACTGTTTAGGGGGGGAGGACAGTAGGTCCCCCCTCATTGTTATTTAGGGCCCCCACCCGCTGTTTACTAGACATGCCCCTACTCGCAGTATAGCAAGTAGGGGCTGAATTTACTAATACTAAGTAATCTTTACTTACTATTAGTAAATGTGGCTGAAAGACCAATTTAGGTCTTTCAGCCTTTTGGTAGATAGCTCCCTAATATCGTGGGAATTAGGGAGTTATCTACTAAGTGGCTGCTTATTTTATGTTATTTTAAGTGAATTCCCTATCCACATTTGTTTGCAGGGCACTTGTCCTACTCTTACCCGCATTTTACTTACTTTTGCAGCCCTCTAGCCGTTTCCAGGACTTTTTTAGAGGCATTTTAGTGCCCAAAAGTTCGGGTTCCCATTGACTTCAATGGGGTTCGGGGTCAAGTTTAGGTCAAGTTCGAGCTCAAACTTTTTGACGAAGTTCAGCCGAACTCGGCGAACACAAACATCCAGTTGTCCGCTCAACTCTAGTATTGAGTAAATATCCCTTGGGATAATCCTATGAAAAAAAAAAAAGAATGCAAAAGCACGTTAAATCTATAGCTACCTTATGCCTAAGAGGGAACATTTTCCAACTTTTTTAATTAGGTATATACTTGTAAATCTTGTGCAAATGTATTTTCATATATTTATGTATTTCAGTTATTCTGGTAAATAGCTTGATGAATCTATTTGTACCCATGTGCAAGTCTGTGTTCTTTTTAAAACAGGGGGTTAAGGTTTAAGAAAATGTCAGAGGGGATAAAAAGGTTAAACCTTCAGCATAAATGTTGTAATGTACACTTGTTTTCCATGATTTTGAAGTTGTATTTGATTGTCAATATTTGATTTAATTTAAAAAAATATATACTAATTATTATAATCAGACTACTGTTTTTAAGTTATTATGCTATTATGCAAAACCACAATATATTTTTTGTATTTATTTGAAAATCCACATTTTATGTATTGTTGCAAAGTCAACAGTACAGTTGGAAATAGCAGTTGGTACAAAATCATTAACAAGCTGGTGGTAGCATTTAATTAGATGAACCATTCGTGTGTGAAAAGGTTTAAAGAATCTATAAAGAAAACACATTTACAGAGGCAAGGTCAGACATGGGAAGAGAGTCAAGCACTGCTCCAGATATTTCTTGACAAATGTTTTCTGTAAATAGACTGTACCATAGCAATCCTTTCATGTATCCTGTATGTTTGATACATTTTGTTAAAAGCAAAGATGTGTCAAAACTATACACAGCTAATTTATGTAGAATTCTACACATCTTTATAATTATACTTTATACTTGCAAATTTTTTATTTTTTTTGTAGTTTCTACAATCTGTGCTATATACACATGCATTTTTTGGATATGTAACCATTTAACCAATTTTCCTTTTTATAATTTTTTTTTATAATTTTTGAAGAACATATGGGTCTATCTATATCTTTTATATGCTGAGTCATAGGCCGTATCATGTGACTGCCATTAGCAAACATAAAATTTGTTTCAATCCACATATTACAATGAATGTATAATTGTTTCAACTTTAACCACTTAGGTGATAGCCGCCATATAATGTATAACAAATTCATTCCTTGCAATATTTCTCTTAAAGTCCAAAAAATAATAGAAGTCATGTACACCTGAGGCAATCAGGATTAATTAGTGCATCTGTTTTGAGATACTCTGATATATATATTTGTAGTTGAGGACATGAGCCGCTATAATAAGAAATACCAATAATAATAATATAATAAGAGGTAAGCACCAGTCAGTTGTAATGTGCCGGAACCGACATATGGGTAGGCCTGTAATAAAAGAGGGCCCACCCATTGAATTATAATAAAGGGGAGAGGTGGGAGTACTGTCTTGGACGGTACTGTACTGTGGTGATGGTACTGTCATGGATGGGACCCGAGTTTTTATAGCCAGTTAACCCCTCCCACAATTACAGACTACGCCTTCTTATTTGTAGTCGGGGACATGAGCAGTTATAAGAAATACCAATAATAATAATAATAATAATATTATAATAAGAAGTAAGCACCAGTCGGTTGTGGTGTGCCAGAACTGACGTAATAAAAGAGGGCAAACAAGTGATGTATACAAATAACCTTTATTACATACATGTTACAAAGCTAAACAGCTGCTAGATGCATACTTGCAAAAACAGAATATTCAAGGATATAATCTTTCAATGTAGGGTGATAACTGCTTGATCCAAGGATAAATCTGACTGCCATTCTGGGGTCAAGAAGGAATTTTTTTCCCTAGCTTGTTGCAAAATTGTGCTTCAAACTGTTTTTGTTTTTTTTTGCCTTCTTTTGGATCAATAGCAAAAAACAAATGTGAGGAAAGCTGAACTTGATGGACACAAGTCTCTTTTCAGCTATGTAACTATGTAAACCTTTAAATGCTAATCTCAATTCCTGTTCTAGCTGAGATATATAACTGGTATATGCTGCTGATTTCCAGCGTCCTAACCTTTTAATGATATGAACAGGGACATTGTGGCTTGATGCCGTGGAAGCAGCTCCATTTCTGAGAAGTGGCCAGAAAATGCAGAGGAGTCATTACAGAGTCTAATGAAAATTGTTCTTATGTAGAAAATGAATTTAGTAGTGGTCAGAGGTTTGCCATGTAAAAGGAGTAATGCATTTTTGGGTTAAGACCGTCAAGTGTGGAACAATATGTGTCCAATAATTTAACTGGACACCAGAAAATGTGGAAGGTTCAGTTGTAGTTGGACTTAATTCTTTCCTCGTATTGTGAGTAAAACTCACCTGTGGTTAATAGCATACTTTAGTAGGAGGGCCTAACTGGTGTGAGCAATAGTAAGAATGTCGGCTGAATGCGCACGCGCGGCAAGAGCTGCGCGCGCATTCAGCAGGTCACATAGGAAAGCATTCATAATGCTTTCCTATGGAAGCTGGCGTGCTCTCACTGTGAAAATCACAGTGAGAAGCACGCAAGCGCCTCTAGTGGCTGTCAATGAGACAGCCGCTAGAGGGAATGGGGGAAGGCTTAACCCATTCATAAACATAGCAGTTTCTTTGAAACTGTTATGTTTATGAAAAAATGGGTTAACCCTAGCTGGACCTGGCACCCAGACCACTTCATTAAGCTGAAGTGGTCTGGGTGCCTAGAGTGGTCCTTTAAGAAGCCATAGAAGACTAGATAAGCTGCCGTTTTAGTTACCAGATTAGTGCTGGTTTCAAATGGATTGGTGTCTAAATGTCTGAAAGTGCCCGAAACTTAGGGCCATCAGTAGGAAGTCTGGTAGTGGTTATGGGTTTGTCCAAGTGTTGTATTCCTTTCAGAATATTTTTAACGGGATAGGCAAACATGAAAGGACTCGCCCTAGGGTAGGCACTTAGAATGTGATGTTGTATTCCTGTGAGGTAGAGTTTTATGGTGTTTAATGATAATTTAAAGTTTAGGTGGCAAAAGCCACTATGGAGTCGAGGGAGTGTGTGTTGTTAATCTGGTAATCTAAAGTGAATTTGGTATAGAGAGTGCATGCTCTATTGTAAGCCCATGACGTATTGGAAGAGAAGGCCGAGCTAGCTGGGAAAGGGACACCTATGCACTGTAATTCTGCTGCGACCCCAGGGATAGTCCAGGAATGCAAGGAATACGGGCTGGCTGATTCCAGATTCTCAGTAGGGGTGCTTGGACCGGCCGGGGTGGAAGGCCTGGCTGGGGTCTCCAGTAAAGCAAGTTTATTGTCTTGTTCTGGGACTTGAGACATACTAAGAATGTAAACATGGATAAAGAAGAGGACTTAGTTATGAACGAGTGCCTGTGTCAACTGCCTCTTGCTAAGCCTTAGGCAAAAAAATATCTGGCCTACAATGAAGATGAAGCCCTGCTAGTGCCAAGTGGTGAGAGAGAGGTTCTAACTATGAGGAGGGCCGAGTGGGCAGCGGCGACAGAATGATGTGGCAGGAACGTTGGGCTCTCGGTGACAGTAACAAGATATAATATAAGTGGGTGTGACATGGTGAGGCCCTGACTAATAACTGACAGTGGTTAATGTGAGGATCTAGCTATGCATTGGACCAAGGGGCGCATACCTACGATGATGATGGGTGCTGGCTTCATGGGAGTAGATTCATTTACCATATGGTAGGGACAAGTGCAAGTAACTAACAGTCAGTTGACCAATCCAAGCCTATGGAGGGATGGGAGTAAGATGTAAAAAGGCAACTTATCTAGCCTTACGAATAGGTAAGATTCTTTATAGAGAAGGATAACTGCTTGAGAACCAAAAAAAGAAAATGTGGAAGGTTCAGTTGCAGTTGGACTTAATTCTTTCCCCGTATTGTGAGTAAAACTCACCTGTGTACTGATGAAAGTAATGTGTGGGGATTTGCTAGTAGTGAATATCTGAGGATAAAACTACACCCTGTTCCAAGTTATTATGCAAATTCTATTTAAGTTTCACAAAGATTAAATATTTTGTTTTTCAGTTCAACTCATGAATGGCATTGTGTCTCAGGGCTCTTTTGATCACTGAAAACAATCTTGGACATCTGTGATAATTAGATTGCCAGGTGAGCCCAATTTAAGGAAACACTGCTAAAGGAGGGTGTTCCACATTATTAAGCAGATCACCATTTTCATGCAATATGAGGAAGAAAAAGGATATCTCTGCTGCCCAAAAGAGTGAAATAGTTAAATGCCTTGGATGATGTATGAAAACATTAGATATTTCATGAAAACATAAGTGTGATCATCGCACTATTAAGAGATTTGTGGCTGATTCAGAGCACAGACAGGTTAGGGCAGATAAAGGCACATTGAGGAAGATTTCTGTCAGATCCATGCATCGGATCAAGAGAGCAGCTGCTAAAATACCATTACATAGCAGCAAGCAGATATTTGAAGCTGCTGGTGCCTCTGGAGTCCCACGGACATCAAGGTGTAGAGTCCTCCAGAGCCTTGCAACTGTGCATAAACCTTCTATTTGGCCACTACTAACCGATGCTCACAAGCAGAAAAATACATGAAGACTAATTTTCAAACAGTCCTGTTCACTGATGAGTGCCGTGCAACCCTGCATGGTCCAGATGGATGGAGTAGTGGATGGTTGGTGGACGGCCACCCTGTTCCAACAAGGCTGCGACATCAGCAAGGCGGTGATGGAGTCATGTTTTGGGCCTTATCTTTTTAAATATGCTGATACCACTTATCGCCACAATAGCTATTTCAATGGCCTCACTCCTGGACGTGGCAGGGTTGGGCGGGACTGCTACGTCCAGGAGTGAGGCCATTGAAATAGCTATTGTGGCGATAAGTGGTATCAGCATATTTAAAAAGATAAGGCTATAGATACTGTGTCGTACGTGAAGAATTTTCAGGATTAGATGAACCTAAAGCAAAATAAAGATTATGCTAAGAAAACACACAATTATATGTACCCTGTGTACGGGAGAGATATTCGTGCTTAATGGGTAATTGGTGGACTGAATGCAGTCGAATGAGACTGCGATAAATGTATATGTTTTTTATAAACACCTAGAGAAGGGAACAGGAAAACAGGAGGGCATTGGTAAGCCAGGTCCATAAGAAAGGAGAACTTAGTACTGCATAACATAATGGATTCACAGGAAAATAACATGAAAAAACCCTAACAAAGATTAAACATATTTGTTATACATACATAAGAAACTTATACATTTGTTTTATCGTTTTTAAAACATTAAGAGTAGCCTAGCCTATAGTCCTAGTTCAATAAAATTCCCTAATTAGATAAGAGAGTACAGGTGAATTAAATAGTACGTGAAAAGTTGTATACTATTAAAACTGGCATGCGTAATTCTGACTGCTAGAGGTCGTACGTGAATAATCTAGAGTGTGATCGGTAAACTTTTTATGCGAATGAATCCTGACATGAAACAAAGAACAGAAATGTACGAATTGAATTGGGATACAAAAGCATATGTTCGCAAGAATGTGGCAGCCGAATAATATGAACCCTTTTGGGCAAACTCACAGTTTGTGGACCAAATGGGGGAATATGACCCGGAAGCAGCAGTCAAGTGAGAGGTCAGCCTGGAACTATTTCCATCAGGAGCTACAACCGGCACGAAGAGCAAAGTGCGGCCAGGAACAGCGGCTGAACAGGGTAAGTAGTATTTCAGGGGAGCTGGCTCTGCGAGGCTGGGCAGACTTGGTTGTGGGATGAAATGGTCTGTCTTGCCTGGAGAACTTGGTTTTAACTAAGCAAATAGGTAAGCGATGTAAGGCTGCTAAATTTTACAGGATCTGTAACCCTTTAAGCTGCCATGGACTTATGCAGTAACACATCCTGCTTTCCTTAATCTTTGGGTACAATTAAAGCAGACCACTCATGATGAAGTCACTCTTTAACCCCTTAAGGACCAAACGTCTGAAATAAAAGGGAATCATGACATGTCACACATGTCATGTGTCCTTAAGGGGTTAATGCATGTGCATTGTATTTTTATGAAACACACCTTTTTTTAGGGGTGTATGCAACAGAAGACAAAATCGATCAATCCTAGATGTTAAGTGCAAAACGTATAATTATTCATATAACATTACGTATTACAGGAAATCTACTGCACATGTCTAGCACGTCTTCTCTAAACCACGCAAAGGTAATCTTGACCTGTGAGACAGAGAAACTGGAGGTTGTGCTGCCAAGCTTGCAAACGGGATATAATTTTTGCTTTTAACCCCTGCAGACATGCAAACACTTAACGAAGACAAAAAAAGGTAAAAAAAATTAATTCTATATCAAACGACACATAGAATTCAAACTTGAGTTGTAATACAGGGGTTAAAGTGACTTGAGTGCAGAAAATTTATAGAAAATTGACATAATTCTACCTGAGCCTTGTAAATATCTTGTGTAAAAATCTGAGATATATCTTATGTACTTGTGTATATACTTGTGTATACTTGTACATATACACTACTTCTGTATATATATGTGTGTGTGTCTCTGTTTATGTGTATATGTATGTTCTATATGCACAGTTTGCTTGCTTTTTTTTTTCTTTCTCGCCCCCCACACCTCCTCACTCAGTGATCTTAACACAAGATATATATGATCCTCTGCTAGAATGGTATCTATTTTCTATCAAACCTGTGGCCTATCTGCACTTATGCCACTTTAACCCCTGTATCACAACTCAACTTTGAATTCTATGTGTCGTCTTTGCTCAGAAATGCTTTAGACTTCGGAAAGGGCAGGTCTCTAAAGGCTTGTCATTACAAAATTATGTTAGTCCTATAAAAAAGGAATTGCAAGATCACACACACAAACTATAATTATTTTTTTATTAGACTAGTATTGCAAACATTATTACAAATGAAACTGATTTTTTTCTCCTTTTGCAATATTTTATTTATTTTACATATTGTATTACACAAATTAATAAAAAAAAAACAATAATAAGCTATTATGGGGAGACTTAAACCATTGATGTTATTGATATTTGGGCAAGCCAATTAATGTAAAACAAAGGCATGAGATTGGTACAAAGTTAGAGGGCACCTTTTCACTTAAAAGGTTATGCTAAACCTAAATATAGAAAATAACATACATGTGATACATAAATAAATAGAAAAATTAATAGAAAAGTTGGATGAATGATTATAGAAAACCACTCTTATAAAGTGCTTAAAGTGCTTCTTTACATACTCTCTAGATCATATTTTTAAAGGTTGTGACATTTTCCTACATACTGGTATCCAGAAGGGCATACCAGCATACAGACAACATTACTACTATAACAAGTTATACAGGATTTACTTTTGTATTCAACTTTGGTCTTATGGGAATTAAGCACCTGTATATTTCTGGTTCTATTTTTCCTAAATTTACATCCTGCGCAGTCTCCGCAAAAATAAAAATATTTAGTTTCTTTAAAAATTCTGTTGCTCCTAATTTCCCCATCTAAAATGCCTTTGGTTAATATTTGCTTAACATTCTTTGCTCCTCTAAAGATAAATTTAGATTTATCTCACAAAAAGACAATAATCTCTTGATTATTAAAATCGGATACAGAAACTCCCGAGCACCGCTGGACTTCCATCATCGCCAGCGTTCATTTCCATTCGCTTAGAAGAGCACTGTTCGGTGAGATCATTCGCCTGGGTGAAGGGAATAAGCTCCAGGGTAAGACTATTGACTCTGTTCAGTAGTTTGTTCGTTTGCAAATTACCAAGCTAGACCGGCTGCACAGCCTAATTCTATGGAACTGTTTTGGGCATGGCACCATGCCTGTGCCTGGGAAAAACTATGACTTCCATAAAATTTCTGAACCCCTAATCTGATCTGGGTGAATTTGGATATTTTGTTGTTCACCCAGATCAGGGCTATCAGGGGATGTAACATTTATGCGGATATGTTGCAGCGGTTCGTGGGATCTGGAGTGCTGATTGTGTCTGGTGCACTAGGAGCATCCGTCGGCAGAGGTACCCACCTGGGGTACAGGAAGCTCTGTTTCAAAAGAAATATAATATAGTGCTTTAATAAAAGTGTCCAAGTGCGTACAAATCTATAGGCCATACACTCACATGGACTAGAGCCACATAAGGACTCAGATCTTACAGGCAGATGTGCTCTTAGGGGACACAGGACCTCTTCTGTCTTTATCCACATATACTCGGAAAGAGACACAAAGAAACAAAGCAGATATCTTCTAGTGAAGTACAGTAAAATATAGATAAACCACACTTAAAATTGCTCACATTAATCAGAGCCAATTAAACCTGGCTCTGGCACAACCAGCATATGTGCCACTAAAGGGGACATTTTGAATACCTCTTAACAATTAAAATTCTATAATATCTAGCATAGGCTTACTATGTCTTGCAAACACAACAGACACCTTTTTACTAAACTTTGTAAAAATATGTCTACATATTGGGGCAGAGGTGATAACTGTGAGCCAATCCACGATACAATTGGCCACCTTGGGCGATTATTTATATCCTTGTGCATCTTTGATAAAACATAAATTGCAGATAATCTGGGAAATCTGACATCTTAAAACTCATACTCATTTAAATTACCTTTCAAAAGTCCCCTATCTAAAAAAGCGTTAACCCTATACACTCATATGGTTCTGTTTAAGTTCTAAAAAATCAGTTTTGATCCAAATAACTACCCCTCCTACCTTATCTGCAATTTTAACCACAACAGTTTAAAGGAACACTATAGTCACCTAAATTACTTTAGCTAAATAAAGCAGTTTTAGTGTATAGATCATTCCATAAACGCTTCCTGTAAAGAGAGCCCTATTTAGGCTTTCTTTATTGCAAGTTCTGTTTAATTAAGATTTTCTTATCCCCTGCTATGTTAATAGCTTGCTAGACCCTGCAAGAGCCTACTGTATGTGATTAAAGTTAAATTTAGAGATTGAGATAAAATTATTTAAGGTAAATTACATCTGTTTGAAAGTGAAACCAGTTTTTTTTTCATGCAGGCTCTGTCAATCATAGCCAGGGGAGGTGTGGCTAGGGCTGCATAAACAGAAACAAAGTGATTTAACTCCTAAATGACAGTGAATTGAGCAGTGAAATTGCAGGGGAATGATCTATGCACTAAAATTGCTTTATTTAGCTAAAGTAATTTAGGTGATTATAGTGTTCCTTTAAGGCTCATACTAAAGCATCCTATATTTTCAATAATTGCAAAGCGGGGGCTGGTATCTGGGCAGAGGGGCAACTAGTATAGGTTTGTGGGCTGCCACATCTATGCACAATTTTCTAGTGTGTTTCTTGAAGTACTGCAGGAGAAATCAGGCATCAATTGTGCAGGTTTTCCTAGCCCTGAGTTTGTGCTTGTAATGGTGTCCCAAAGTTTGTGTTCTCCAGGGCTAAACTGGCCCACTTTAGTTTGCAAATGGCTGTGTGTTGTCAATGAATTCCCTAAAAACCAAATAGTTGATAAGATAGAAGATTAGAAAAACAGTTCAGGCATTCCAGGATACAAAAAGGCAAATTTATTGAACCCACTGCCACTCACAATGTTTCGACCTGAATGGTCTTTGTCAAGACAAGGACTGTTGAAGTCGAAACGTT